AATATTAACTTTAAAATTCAAATTTTAAATATATTTTTATAAACGACATTTACTTATTAATGCATTCAACATCCAACCTTTAATTACGATTAAAGTAAACCCAAGTTGGTATCGTTGGATCGATGAGTCTTTTTCAATCTTCACTTGAAAAAGGTGGCATCCTCGCAAGTGATAACTGACTTGTAAGTCTACGGAATCCATAGAATTTTTCATAACACTCGCTATAAATAGGAGTTCGTGCTGTTACATATATCTACTCCACAAGTTGGATTTTATTCATATAAGCTCACTTGTTCTGTAATATAAACTCTTGGCCGGGGATATCTTATTTTGATCGACATATGGCACCGCATGGGGAGGCTATTGTTGGCTCAGGGGCTGGTGGTCGAACCAACAACTTCTCCAAGCCACCAAAGCTGTCAAATGACAGCCTTCACCGGACCATTTCGGACATCTCCCATCAGCTGAGCAACATTGATATAGAGGAAGCAGTCAATGTGGACGACAAGCTCCCGCCGATATCTGAGGTGGAAGATGCAAAGTGTGAGTGCTGTGGGATGAGCGAGGAATGCACGCCGGAGTACATAGAGAGGATTCGGAACAAGTTCTTGGGGAGGTTGATATGCGGGTTGTGCTCAGAGGCGGTGAAGGAGGAGATGGAGAAGAATGGAGGGAAGATAGAGGAGGCGTTGAGCACGCATATGAATTCATGTGCTAGGTTTAACAAGCTGGGGAGGGCTTACCCTGTTCTGTGCCAAGCTGAAGCCATGAGGGAAATTTTGAAGAAAAACAGGATGGAAGGAAAGGAGCTTAGGGCTAAATCCCTTAGCCCTAGGGATCCTAAAGGAGGACAAAAGAGAGGGATTGCAAGGAGTTCTAGTTGCATTCCAGCCATTACAAGGCAGATGAATGATCTTCCCATATCAAAATAAGTTACCTAGCTAGCTTAATTTCCTTTTTTCCCAAGCATTGTTTTCAAAACCGTAACTTACGGTTTTGTTTTATGTGAGGATTCAATTTCCATCTCAAGCTTACGTATTTTTACATGGCCCTAATTGAGCCAACCTTTGAGTCACCTCTGAAGGTTTTTTTGGTACTTGGTCCCAACTCTTAATCCCTAAATTATTAACTCGAGGAGCCTATTTTCATGTCCTTGGTTGATATCAACATGTTCAGTCTGTTCACACCTTTCTCTCACCTTCTAAAATAGTGAAATGCAAAGAGATGCATGGCCAGTTACCTCTTGGTGTAGCTCATCAAATCTTTCCTTCACCTGCTATAAGATTATTAGGTGTAAAATCCGTCATCCTTTTTACCCTTCTGGGGTCTAAACAAAGTTCAATACCATCATGAATTACCTAGCCAATTACCTACTGTTTATGAATCATCTTCGTGCATGCAAAGATTTGTTAGAAGTTGTGAAGGATAAGCAGGAACTCGTCGAGGGCTTAGGATAACCTTGTAGGTCATTTTCGTGTAAGCAAGTTCATATGTACTGTTCCGATAAAAGCATGTACAATGTTCTTTTCAATCTTCTGCACCCTTGCAATATATATATAATATGTCAAATTTTACAATTCCTTACTCAATGGAATCTCTTAACATTAAGGCATTAACATATGTGAGAGTGCACATTATGAGGAAATAAGCAATCATTAAGAGCAAACTAGCAAGTGGTTTGTGCCCTGTCTGACCATTTCTTGACTGATCGAAGTTTTCAAGATTCCAGCAACAAAACATAGTCTTGGAATACAAAGGAAAATCGAAACAGACAGATATTGTTACACAGTTTTTCATAGTTAAGGATAAACACAATAACAATACATTAACCTGAGTTTAGTTTAAGTTCGATACCATTTCCTCTTGCATCCTAGGTTTCAAACGAAGGACCAGTTCACGAACATAAAACAGATGCAGTGAGCACTCTCTTCTTCATTCAGCACCTTCCAAGCTACTGCTCTCTCATACGAAACGGGTCTTCCCATGCTTGACAAGCATATGCCACCTTGAAGACAAGAAAAGCCCTATTGTCCGAGAAAGACAGAACAATGCAGACAATCAGTAAAATGCATGATGTAAAACCAAATACATTTTTATATTATATGTTCATGTCATGGAAGACTTAATTAACTTTAGCAAGATTTCAGGAGAAACTGCTGACCTGTTGCATAATCTGAGGGAACTCTGTGCAGAGTGTTTTTCGCCCATGATCATCAAATATCTTCTCCAGGGCTATCTCTTGTAAAGCAACCAAGGTTGTTTCCAGCATATCAAGCCCAGCTTGGTTTGCAAAAGTAAACACAGGCAAAGCCTGCAAAATTATTATGACTATTTTAGTATGTTCTTCAGAAGAACTTAATGATGTGTAAAGGAAACATTTGGATCATGAAACAACAATACATAGACCTGCCAATAGACATTGTACCATTCTGATAAAGAAATAAGGTTCTAATGGTCCAATTAATCAGTTATACAGTATCAGATTATGAAGAAGCTCTAGGATTTTCTTGAAATGCACATGGATAATTTTTGCTTTTCTCAACTTAAATCTAACACTGATGCATGCACTTCTCTAGCATCCTTTGTCAGGAATTGAGGCAAGACTAGAGATATCACACAGAAAAAGGTCCAAGATATTCCATCTTCCAATATGAAAATTTATGCTACAAAGAATGCAAGTATGGAAAAGAGAAACAGAAAGAAGAGAACAATTAAATATTCTACCACCTTCAGAGAGCAGCACATGATAGCATCTGAGTGATGCCACAGAGTCTTGAGGATGGATTCAGCCCCTTCACTGCTGGATTTAAGCAGCTCTACTCCCAAGTAGCACCTGCAAAATTAAAACAAATCAATCTATGGAACAACACATAGCAGCATTTTACCCAGGATATGTAGCTAGTTTATTTTAAGATGTCTAGCATGCACAATGTAAGGTTTTTTTTTTTTTTTTCATCTGATTTTGGGCTATAGAAGTACAACAGGGGATGGTACTCTCCTTTCCTATATTCTTCCCCACATGAGACCTCCAACTCAGAAGTCTCAAACTCTGACCATTGGAACATCTACTAAAGGGACATGCATAATACAAGCTTAAGTTCACTTTTAAGAGTTAAAGTAGTCTGAAACCTAGTGTACAATACAATCTAAAAGCGAGATGCATAATACAAGCTAAGTTCACACAAAGAGTTCAATTAGTCCGATACTGGAGCACAATATCTCATCAGTTAAAAGTAAAAACATATTTTCTCATTCTAGCAAGGAGCAGGTAGAGTATCATTGATTTGAGTTAAAAAAAAAAAAACAAACAAACAAACACCAATGTGGTGCTTTTTCTATAAATAAGTTATTGGTATCTACGTATCTCAACTAGCATCATTTTCATCACTCTTACTTCTACAAAAGGACAAGACAATAGCAGAAACAAGTCAGACAGTAAATCTTAAAAATTAAACCGAAAAGTGCACCACAACTGACCGTGGACCACATGAGTCTCTCTGATTTAACTATGGCTACAACAACAGTAATAAGTTTTTCCTTCTTTGGGGAAAGAAGGTAACAACTGATGTACCTATAACTCTGGCAGATCCACCGAGCAAGGGTCTGTGCTTCAGGAGTGCCCAGTGGTGTCCGGAGACCAGCATGTGAACCTAAATGAGAAGGAGAAAGTGCTAATGCCACCCTCTGAACAGATGAGATAATGCTGCGGACATACTGCCTAGCCATAGTCGCTACATGTTCTTGCATATGACTCTCAAAAGCAAATTCAAAGGCTATAGTCATCACAGATCTTGTACAGCCAGAATTAGCAGAATAATCATTAGATGATTTATTTCCTGCAGGTCCAATCTCAAGGGCAGAGGCGAGGTCCAAGGTCCGGTTTGGACTGGAGGCTTCCTGAATCATTTTTCAGAACATAATAAGGAACTCCAAAGAGTATGTAGTATAAAAAATTTTAACACCAAGCACAAGATACTAATATAGATGTCAACCTTCCCAGAATCAAGAGGAATGATGCGAAAACCAGAAGGCAAGAGAGGTGCATCATCAGCAAAAGAACCATCAATGGGAGCAAATATAAGTTCAGCACAGGTGCCCACAGCGTTCTCATCCATCCCACTGCATAGCTATAGTAAAGAAATATGAAGAAACACATTAAGCAAGAAAGCAAGAAAATCCAGAGAACTAGGAGAGATGCCTACGTAAGGCAAGTGATATTCCCTGCAACAACATCAACTTTGTAGTTTTTATCTGCTATGAGATCATAGTTCCATTTAACTCCAAAAGTCTAACTTTTGCCCCACAAGTTTCCTTTGGAATAGCTGTTATGCATTATTTTTTTCCTTTGCCCAAAAGCCCTTCTGCATTAAACCAAGTAAAATGCCTAGCTAGACCATCTTAACCTCAGTTTCTAATAATCTAATTCATATACTCAAAATCCAACTGCTCTATGAGAAATTTGGAACAGCATAAGGAGAACCAAAAAAGGGAAGAATCTTTTCAATCAAACTACAAATGTAGAAACCCACGGTCATAAAAGAAAAGATCCCAAGCATAAAGGATTATGGACTTGTAGAGGAAGTGGATTAACTAGAAAATATAATATTATGCCACTATCACAATTGAATAGCATATTACCATGTTAAAAAACTTTGATTATAAATTCTAAATATCTTGCCTACATCTGCTAAAGAAGAAAAACCAACCAGGACAAAACTAAATTGAGCACGCAGAGTATAAACACTAACCTGCAAGAGAAATATGTCTCTGGGCATCATTGTGTCTTCAAGAGAATGCCCAACTCCTTCCAACTTAATGACCTCCAAGAACTAGGAATAAAATAGAAACATTTATCACACTATCAAGAAAAAGAACTAAAGACCATCTTTTAATGAGATATAACATTTTTATTAGCTGTTGAAGTTGATTAATAATTACCTCTTCATGCTCAATAGTGTGAGCCAGGGGAAGTATCACTTGACCCCCAAAACCTCCCACTCGCGACCCTGGTAAGCTACAGGGACCAACTTTAATTGCTGCTGCTGAGTAAGCATCAATGCTGTTATCAGCCCATTCTGATCTGTGCTCACGCAAAAACCGAAGAAGAATAGCAGGAGGCACATTCTGAAAGAGAAAAAAGTGGACAAAAAGAAGAAACAGAAGGAATTTGTTAAACATGTTACATCTTGCAACTGAAATACAGAGAAATGAATTTCCATTCTCTCTATAACTTTTGTCCATCATAACCAAGACGAGGTAGGAACTTCGAGAATTCCAACAGTAAACAACTGACCACTGTCAAGTCATCCAGTTGGTAGCTAGGAACACTTAATTCCATAAGAGGTTGCAGATACTAAGTCTTGAGCAAGTAGGTTCGTAGGAAAACAGTAAAAAAAAAAAATTTTGCTGTTTACCTTAACCTTTCCATGCCCCAATAAAAGGAGACACAAAGATGAAGATAAAAAAGCCATTATGTGCAGGTTTGAATAGACAACTTTTTCAGGGTTGCATTGATGGTGCAAGGAGAAGAAGAGAGAAGACATGAGGACAAAGAATGCTCTCCACAATTAACAGCCTGGTCTTGCCATATCAAAGGCATTGGGTATTTAGGAAACACAGTTATATCATGCACTTTCCCATGGTTTCTAGACCAGTCAAAGAGATTTTGAGCATCCTGACCTGTAAAAGCATTGATGCCTTAGCACACAAAACTGCATTGCTGACCGATGGAAAACCATTGCTAAAAGAAAGATTCAAGCCCATCAGCTTTTCAGGGGATGAGTTCACGAGGATAGTAACATCATCCATGCCATCATTTCCCATCATTGACCATCCCTCATCAGTGAACCCATTGAGAGCCTCATTGAATCCCCTACCAGAAATCATCTATCAGATTCTCTTAAGTTTAACAGGCTAAAAAGACAATACATGAAATTAGAGATACCAACCTGCTCAACCTCTGACTAAGTGCTCTAAGGGCTGCTGGTCGTCTTCCCCAGCCAGTAACATTAGACTGGGAGACCTCCTGAGCTATCTGCCTTAGTTGGCGCAGACCCTGATAGAGCAGAATTCGAATTAAATCTATGGTTGTTACAGGTCTAACTTCATGTATCAACTTATCTTTATCTTCCATGCTGAAACTGAATACCATCTTACCGCCATTGTTGTCTTCTGAGCAAGCACAGTTGATGATTCATACAGCGGGCGCAACACTTCTGGTACACTCCATGGCTGTTATTATCACAAATGTGCTAAATGACTTATTATCTTTTGGCATACTAGTTAGTCTTAAACAGAAAGAACGTGAAAGGCAAAACTACCTCTAAATCCATATGATCAACAATGTGTATTATTGAGCCACCCCCGTCACATGGTCGGATTAGATATCCACTGGGCAACATTTCTGCCCGGACAAAATGCTGCACTGCTGGCATGCTAGGACCATTCTGTGTATTTTTAAGTGACCTCTCACAAACCTAAGTATCACAAGAACATTAATAAAAAGGCTTTGCAATCATTAGGCAAACAATTTTCAGCACATTATGAATTAGAGATCATATTGTTTAAGGAGGAACATACCACAAGGCTGCCATCTTCCAGAACTGAAGTATAGCGCAACAACCAGAAATCACGACCCGGCGCCAATGTCGTTGGCGCATAAAGCTTTATCATCATGAAAACAAAGTAATTATTAAATATTAACATGCCAGAATGATTGAACAGGCATGTAAATAATGATAAATGAGCACTACCTGCATGTACAGCAGCTCAATGGTTCCACCATTAGCAGTAGGCAGCACATTTAGAACATCCACAGTTCGGCAATCGCGAAACCACGAAGGCCGATCCTTGAGAACTTCTGCAACCTGGAAAAACACAACTACTGAACCTCAAAGGCTCAAACACAAGAGAAGGATGCTGTATACAGTATAAGGTATTAAACCAGTAAGTGCACTAACCCTAGTGGGTTCTAGACCCACAAGGCCGCAAGCACGTGCTGCCACGCCAGTGCAACCATGAGAAATAGCAACGATTCCAATGGAATCCGGACCAGGCTGTTCCAATAAAAAAAAAAAAAAGAAAGAAAAACAGATTAGAAAAAGAACAAGAACTTATGGGGTGTTGCTTAACCTAAAGAACAAAGACAATAGAACAACTTTTAACCAAAAAAGTGAACAACCCAATTACATTTTTTATTTAGTTTCAGTACATTATGATTAGGAAATAGATGAGAAAATAAAGGCAAGCAGTTTGACGTGGGCTGAGGTTTTTGCCACTAAAGATTTTGTTAAGGCCACTAATTTTAACTATAATTTTATCAGTTTATAATTTTTTTTCTTAAACAATTGGTTATGATATTTGAAAATATATATTTATAAACTGATTTTAATCTGTTAAATAATAGAGATTAGTGTTTATCAGCCAGACTTACAAAATGTTAGGCAAAAAAAACTTCAAAACTTCTACGTTTTAATATATCATCATGAGAAAAGACCAAAACAGTATTATTCTTCATTTAAAAAGTAGGTTATTAGTCTTTTTCGATGAAAATTTATTAAAGTGATGTAATTTTGAGGCTTTTTTTTACCTAATTTTTTGTAGATCAAGTTGATAAATATTTTTCCATAAACAGTAAATATTAACTGTTTTATTACTTATCAACTGCTTTTAACAATAAAATTAAAATAAAAAATTGACAATTTTGGTGGCCTTAACAAATTTAATGGTGGCCATAACCATAGTCTTTGATGTGTGTCATGCCCTGTAATTTTTTTTTTTTTTTTTTGGGTGCAGTATCACTAGTAATTTTTAAACTTCATATGATGAAGTTAAATTCCTGTCATACCATTTTGAAGCTCCCAATGATAGATGACAAGTGAGGTTATTTAATATAATAATATATATATAGGAAAATGGATAATTTCCCAATAAATAAATATAAAGTCTATAGTTAAAAAGAAGGAAAATGGAAGGCTCAAGGAATACCTTCATTCCAGGCATCTGTACCCACTCCACAGCAGTTCCAGTGGCCTTCGAAAGAAACTCTGCTAAAGTCTCTTCTGCAATGGACAAAAGCCTGGAAAGAATACAAGCACAAATTAATAAACCCATCAGCACACAGTTCCATACGCACAGGCAGAGAAAACAAAGTGCCCACAAATCACAGTCACAGAAAAGGACCCAACAACCATTTTCCCACTAACCCTGCAGGACTAGCATCCCTTGGCGGATGCTGAGGTGTCAGCTGGTGTTGACCGCTTGTCACCACCGATTCACAGCTTGCATCTTTGGTTGCAAGCGTTGCCTGTAACAAAGCAAATTAAAATAAATTTTGAAGATAAAGATGCCGTCTTTGAATCTTTGAAGTAGCCAAACAACGACAAAACTCTAAATTTTCTGATTTTCGCACAATTTCCAAGCAAACAAACAGATTATATAATTAATTGAAGATTAAATATTAGACTCTCACATTGTGGGTGTGTTGGCGAAAGTAGCCATTCTCATAAACCAGCTGTGACACTTGCTTTTGCAACCTATCATTCTCCTCCATTAACAGCTTGTTCATAGCCGTCAGCTTCCTATTCACGGCTTGAAGGCGTAATGACTCTTTTCTCTGCTTCTCCCTACATCTGCAGAAACAAAAACAAAAAACCCGCACTGCAAAAATTAAAAATGGTTATGGAGATGTAGCAGAACACAAACAAAATTAAACAACGGAAGAAAAAAACAGACACTAGAGTGGAAAACAAGACAAAACATTTCTTGTTCTTAGATGAGACAGACAAGTGTCATCTCTTTCTAAACAAAGACAAGTAGAAGCTTAGAATCCAACATTTTATTCCAGAATAATGTAAAAATGTAAAACTAACCTGGAATCAAATAAGTGCGTATGAAACACAAAAGGGTGCTTTAAATTCCCAGAAACAATAACTTACCTCCTGTTTTGGAACCAGACTTTGATCTGTTTTGGCTCGATGTTGGAGAGGATAGGGCACTCCCTAATCAATTGTTGGCGGCGAATTGAACTGGGCTTTGGACAGTCATGATAAAGCCTCTCAAGAGCCTCAACCTGCTCCGGTGTATACCTTACATACTTGCCATTGTCAATGCTCCCTAATTTACCATCCTTGCAGGACATCGCCATCTTCAATTCCCACCTCAAGATTCACAATACCCACTAAAGCACAGTGTCACCAACACCCAAGTAGCTTCTCTAGAACAAAAATCACCACCCTATGTGCTTTAAATCACAAATTCAAGAGAACCTTCTAAATTGAACGGAACTAGCCTATTTACAATAAACCCACTGAAGACTAAACAAAAGATAGAATATTTCCCTAATCACAAACTGAACTAACCTCATAGCTTGCATGGGAGAAGCCGCAAATGAGTTTTCTCTTTCATCTATATTTTCCCCATTTGTGCCTGAATCTAAATTTTCTTGTTTCCCAATTCTAACTCGTGACAGAGTTATCCCTGCCTTGTTGTCACGCTGAGGCAGCCCCAAACACAAGAAGCCGTAAATCTTTCGAGATCAGAGCTTCTAAAACCAAGTGGATCTGATTCACCAAAACATTTTTGAAAAAGGTGACTCCTAGAAACACCCAAAAGGGAATACCAACCACCGCAAGGAAGCGTTTCTCGTGATTCACCCGGAGATGTTTCTCCTTCCTCCCTGTTACCAACTCTCCAATTCCCACCAGCTATGCTCTAACAGCTCGAGTCACAGAAAAAGCCAAAACAAAACAGCAAAGCAGACGGCCCCCAAGATTCAGGTTTCCTCCAAGAACAAAATTCCAGAAGATCTCTCAACTTATACTAAACAACACTGACCCACCAACCCCCCCCACTCCCATAAAGACAAACCGATCCTAATCGCCAAAGCATTTTCCCTTGCCCTACTTGTGCTCTAATCGCGGATCAAAGCTTTCTGTCTCAACATAGTTCTGGTTTTTTTCACATAAAAACAAGAAGTGGGTTTTTTTACCAGGAGCGGGACAGAAAACAACCGGAGAACAAAACAAACAGACCCAGTTGGTGGTGACACAGTAAAGCAGCAGTACCGGTTCTCGGGATTTTGCCTTTGCGAAAGTTGCAATTGAATTTTGTTTCTTTCTTTTTGGATTGACGAAATTGCTGTTTCTGTTCCTGCTGCTGCCTGTGTGTGTCTTTTTCAATGGTTCGTAGCTTTCGGCTTTCACAGGGGCAGAGAGTCTTCCACTTCACTGTGCTGCGAAAAATGGTGGTGTGAATTTTTTTTTCTTATTGGTTTTTTCAAATTGGTTTTATTTTAAATGACTGATTCACCCTTGAAATCTCTTTTTATTAAAAAAAAGATCTCATTACTGTTGGCGGTCCAGAATGACAGCATCATCCTTTAAATTGTCTAGGGTTTTT